AAAAGGCAAATGGCAAACAAAAGACCAAGAATGTGAGTCTTCTTTTCTTTCCTCATTACCCGAAAGTAATATTTACCTCTTTGTTTTGTGCCTAACATACATCGCCTTTCTCTCTGCTTTTCTATTCCAGAAAGGCTCAGTTCAGATAACCCGAGCAAAAAATTAGCTACCAAGAAATCAAAGGTAAGTCAAAAATGGATACTGTTCCAAGCGATAAGATGAGTTGTAGCTAAGAATCTTTTATTGTGTTGTGCTATGCTTTCACCTTCTCAGAAAAACGAAGAACCAGGTGGAGGTAATCGATAGAAGACAGCAGAGAAAAAGCAGGAGTTACTCTCGTCCCCTCACTTTGTCTTTGCTACAGGTTCATTCCAGGGCGCAGCAGGAGTCGATGGAGGAGGAATTGTCGGTGGGCTCAGATGTAGAGATTGAAGACGAGTTCGGTTTGAAAGAGCAGTTTGTTAGCTTTGGGTACTACGACATGATGATGATCACGTCGGCATTGAATCCCTCAGTGAGCTTACACACCACGTCAGCACTACAGAGGACCTCACTTCAAACTCCCTTGGATTACATTCAAGAAACTCAGTGAGGTCAGCAAGCGTCCCAACAAGAAACCAAAGATTGCGTGGTAGAAGATGTTGCAAGTATGATCAGGGAGGGGCATTCGATGTAATTAATCTCTCCTAGGTTGGAAAGAGACCATTTCAAGGAGGGTGATGCAGCTAGTGAAGAGATTTGGAACTTTGCATGTTCCCAGTACTGACCTTTTTGATGACACACAAACTGTGGCGACCTTGAAGCCGGAGGCAGCGACATATTCGAAAAAAGTGGCCGTCCTTGGATTCGAAAGCAGTTCGAGCTCTTCCAGGTCATTGATTACTCAGCCCCCCCCCCCCCCCTTCAAAAACCTTCTTTTATTTGTGAACATGAAGCCCTCTGTTTTTCCCATCCCCCCGGCCATCTCAATTCTACCCCAAAAGCCCTAGAAAACCAGGTATTTACCCCACTATTGACCCTTAAATATTACCCAACCTACGATTCTTTCCACAAATAGTAGTAAAATTCCAGTAGAATCCTCTATTTTATCCCCCAACCCCCTAAACTGCTCTCTTTTTCCAACGGTTTTATAGATGGTGAATGAAAGCACGACTCCTTGGGCAGTTTATTTCATTCCCAGTTCCTTTGTGGGAGTTGAACCTGACAGGATGTTCTTCGAATCAACAGGGGCCACGTCATCACTGTGATCGTGTTTTTGAAATATGCTGGTGTTGGTGGACTGAGTCGATCTTAATCGAATAGGTTCGAATTCGATTTGATTTAGAGTGTGGTTAATGTATTCCTCGACATCATAATGGGGTCTCGTTTAGAGTCTGGGTTAATGAGACATTTAATGGGGGTTCTCGTTTTCAGGAGAGACGTTAGGGCTTAGGTCCAAAGTGTGCCATGGCATAAATGTCAATGATGTCATCGCAGCTTGAGATTTCAAAAGAGACTGGCTATTTTTTTGCTGCTAGTTTCGTCCGCCTGCCTGGTATCCTTCTCTAAGTAATTGTCAAGCTGCAAACGAGATAATTGCTCCAGAAAATCCTTCTGCCAAACATGAATCGACTCTGCAGCCATTCTGTGCAGTTTTCAGGTGCTTTTGGCAGAAAAAAAAACACATCCCGGCAGAAAAAAAAAAAACCTCCTGGCAGAAAAAAAACACCTCCGGCAGAAAAAAACACCTCCCGGCAGAAAAAGCCATGCCGGCTTTCGGAACTGCAGAGTTCGAGGGCTTCTGCAGAGTGCACGCCAGCCTGCTTCAGGAAAAAAAGTGTTTCTGCGGACTCAAAAAGGGCGTTTCTGCAGAGTTTTTCATTCCCAGTGAAGTATTGGAAGAAGAACCACCCAAAGCTAGTACTGGCGAGGCCTAGGGAAGACGTTTGCAACGAATGTTACATCTGGATGAATCGCCGGAAGTATGTGGTTGAACAGTTGAAGAAGACCCAAGGTGTTGACAGCGTGGACGACATTGTCTTGGAGGGTGACGATGAGACTGAAGAACAGCAAGCAGCAACAACAACAGTGGAACAATCTACAGTCCCAGCCCAAAATAATGGAGTTTAACAGCAAGGTGGTGATGCCGCCTAGTCTAATAGAGATAAAGTCTATGCATGATAATGAGTTTACTATGAGGTAAGAGCTTGAAATTGGTGCTGGAATGCTTGTGAGCTTCGTGCCGTTGGCTCACAAATGGTTTTTCGCGTTTTTCTAACGATCAGGATTTGGGCAGTCCCGGACCATGACAGACGGTGCCGGCTTGGTTTTGCCGTGACCTGCCTTACTTTTAAAAGACTAATATCGAGCCCTTGGCTCAAACTGCATAGTCTTGGAGAACTAGCTAGCTAGCTAGCTACCAGTACTAACAAACCATAACACCTACGAGCATCCACAAGCGGGGCTCGCCCTATCCCTCATAGGGAAGGCCAGCTCTTTCACATTTGGTTCGTATAACCAGTGCCAGTAAATGCTTTGGCGGCTTGGAAAACATGCCAAAGAGGTCGACTGGAGGTCGATACTGTAAATTGTCGAGTTATTCCCGTTCTGTAATGCCAACCCGCTCGTTGCAACGTCCGGCGTCCCATGTTGTCTGTCGTCTTCGTCAGCCTTGCGCATGTATAATCCCCAGCATAGATTCTGTCGTCTGTCGTCAACCGGTGACATATCTTTGTCATTGGTTCGTCATTGTTCTCAAGAGATCTTTGTGATTGCATAAGCAATGACAAGATCTCAAAAGATCACACAGTAAAAAGATTGCTTAATACTCACAAATCGATCATGCCTTCTTGTTACAATTCGCAAGACACCCCTGAACTAAAATTTATCGACGACATGAAGACCCACGACACCATCCCAATCCCTTCTGGTTTTGCGGAACGCCGAGCCAAGAACCTGATGTTGGCTACTCAAGACTACTCTGATATGGAGTTATTGGCTTTGGTGATCAAAGACCGACGCGTTTTTGACAGTACATCTAATCTGGGAGTGGATGATTTTATGCTCCTTATCGCCGAAGGTCTCCCTGATGAAAATTTACTTATTGAAGTCTTGAAGCGCAAGAAACTCCATACTTACTTGACTCTTCTTCATTCGATTGATGAAATCATTAAAGAAATAGAGATCCGCAATCTTCGCAACCAGTTGACGAAGATTGACCGTCTTCGTATTGCCCAAGCTGCAGCGCCCGAGCTGGCTGCCTCTCAGATCCATCGTAAAATGGACAAATAGATATCACGCAAAGTGGGTTTCAAAACCACGCGGGTTTGACAAAACGAGAACAGTAAATCATGCCATAAATTAAAATTCTCGCAAAATGAAGAACGCCTTCTTTTTTATTACTTTCTGTGTGTGCGCTTCGTACGCTAACGCGATGTGTGGCACAAATGACCTAGCAAATGACTTTCAATGTAAAACTGTTGTTTCCGGTTATAATGGCGCTGAAAGATTTAACAGGAATTACCACTCTACATTCCCCCATGGACACACAAACGCTTACCTTGTTAATCCTGATTATCCTCCGAATACTTGTACCGCCCTGGCTGGTCTTGCTTGCCATTGGCATTGCTTACAGGCCATTGCCGGTACTAACGACCTTGACTGGCTCGTAAATTGCGACGCTGATATTAACGCCTGGGCTGATCTCCCTAGCTTGTTTCATACTGCAAGCCGTAAAGGAATCGAGTATGTTACTTGCCGTCTTGCTCAGGGTTGGTCACAATACGGTCATTTGCCACAATAAAACAATGACGAAAAACTAATTACCTAGTAAAAATTTATAAAAGTTTATCCACACTCACACAAATCTTTTTGCAATAACATGAGCGATCGCTACTACAATCGCTTCCTCGGTAGCTCCAAGTTTGCTGCCGCGGCTCCTTCAGACGACACCGAAGATGACATCAAACAACGCGCTGAGGAATATGAAAGAAGTGGCCTTGACGTGAAAGGTCCTTCTTTGTCTACTGACGCAGTCGATCGTCTCTGTATGCTTGAAGACATGGGAGACGATGAGCTTCTCAGTGCTGTTGTCGATCGGCCTTTACTCATGAAAAAAATAATGATGTTGATGCCCGATCAAGATGTACTTCAGGACGTCAAAGACAAACCCTTTCTCCATCGCAGGATTATTTTAAAAAGCGTCTCACCCACGTCTTTTGCTTCAGCTTTTCCTCGAAGCCGTACGCACAAAGATGTTTTCATTCGCCCAGATACAGAGCATCCAAAAGGATCTCTACAAAGCTTCGCGCAGCGGTTAGTACAAATTGACAAGAGACAAGGAGGGGTAGGGCCGTAGCCCAGAAAAATCATTTTTGCACGACTCATAAGGTTAATGACCTAAATGACCCTTAACAGACATTCGTTAAGTCTTTAGGAAATTAGGGGAACCTATCCTTATGTGACAAGCTGAGCACAATGACTTTTGCAGTATTACCCTCCTTGTCACTTGTCACATTTGTACGTGATTCTACGTAGCCCTGGTACTAAATTGCCTTGTCACAAAACCACAGGAGACAATGAGCGTCCAGTATCCGATGAGACAAAAGCTTGGTGTCTACCGAGCCACTCATCGTTATTAAGCTCGTTTTCTTGTTTGGGGCCAGGGGAATCTTAGCCCAGTCTCCTTAACTCTAGTATAAATGACATGTGACAAAAAGCCCCCCGGCGCCTGAGGGGCAGCCCCCCCGGCGCTTGAGGGACAGCAACCCGGCGCCTGAGGGGATATTATCATAATAGTATGTAGTTGCTTATACTCTTGTTAGAGATAGGGTAGCTTTTTAAAGGTATCTTAGGTCTTACTGATAGAGTAACTAGTAACTAAAATTCTAAAAGGATAATAGTAATTAGCCCCCGGCGCTTGAGGGTATTACTAATACAGTATAATATATAATAATATAGTAAAAATACAGACTATATGGTAATGCTTGTTAGTCTATATATAGTGCTATAATTCATGACGAGATAGGATTTTATATAAAAGCTAACTGATAGTATTTTCAAGTCTGATTACAATAGAATACCTAGATTAATTCTGTATAAGAGTAATGCTGGTTGTGAACACGACCGAAACTAATATTTCCTCTTTAGTACAACTGTTAGTGCCGAAAGTATAGTGAACTGATAGCAGTCATTCCTCTTGCATTTACTATAACTCAGCTAAATAACGCTCCATAGTACCCAAACTCTGATGTGATTACTGTATATTCCAGCTTAGCTGGGTCACGATTCGGGATTCGAAAGCTGAAACTAATCCCGAATCGATGTCCAGATTTTACAACTTTGGAATTACATGCAACGGCGCTGACCTATTTACACGTGTAAGATGGTATAATAGGACACAGCCGTATAAGGATAACGATAATCATTCACGGATACCAATGACACGTCACAGCTGACTTCAAAGAATCAGTGTGTGGAACTTCATACCAATGCAATCATTTGCAGTCTACGAGTCATGCACAGCAATGCTGTCATTGGTATTGCTCATTTTCGCCTTGATTTGTAGCTCATAAAATCACGATGGCCCGTATCAAGAGAACCCCCGTGAAGAACCGAGAACCTACTGTTTCTTATATCAATAGTAGTTTTTTCGACAAACTGGACCCACAGATCACTCGCAGGCTCCATCAGAGAGTTCCAATGACAGGAAACAAAAATCTCACGCGTGTTGACGTCCTACGAGAAACCGTCAAGTTGATCCAAGACGAGACCGAAGCGCTGGAAGCGCTCAATTGCCGCCAAGCCGTAAACGAGATTGCGAAAATGTTTAACCTTGGATCCACAGAACTCTGGTACTATTACTCTTATGGGGAGGAAGAGGCGGAACGTCTCTTCAACATCTCATCGTGTCCAGCTCCCGAAATGTGCCAACCGGAGGTTGAAACAGAAGAAACCCACAAGGCGGAAGAGTGGTGAGGGAGCTTGACCGTGGTCACCGAGATGTTCTTAGCTATATTGTCAGTGCTATGTAAGTGTGTGGCATTACAAATCTATGTTCATCCTTCTCTAATGGTTAGAATAAGCTAGAAAGACATTGTGTAAAGGTGAAAACCTGGACTACTAGAGTTAAGATCTAATCGTACTTGCGGCACAAGGTGTCCTGGACCTTCTGGGCCGTCTTGAGGGCCAATTCGGTCCTTCCGTTCTTGATATTGTGCAACACAAAGGTGTTGTAGTAGCAAGCCGCCGCAATCGTATCCTGGTCTTCGGTCTTCCTGACGATTTCATCGCGGAAAAGGCGCTTGGAACCATCGAGGTTCATGTTGTTGTCTCCACAAAACTTGATGAGCTTATCCTTCCTCTTCATTTCGATCTTCGCTTTCTGGATGTCTTCGCCAGCCTTGCGCTTGTTTGTTCCAGGGAATACGTCGTCACCAAGAGAGATGGGCTTGAAGTGCTTCAAGCTACAAGCTTCGACCGGATTGATAAAGAGCTTGACCGGGGGTGGTTTCTCGTCAACGGTGGGTGGTTTTTTGGTAACGGGGGTGTTGGAGGAAATATACCTGACACCTCTTTACTATTGACTCGTGTATTAAACATCTAGTCCGGTTCGCATGCATATTCATGATGCAAGGAACCAAGGGAGTTTTAGGTCTAAAGTGTTACGGGGGTCCTTATATCCAATTCAATCACAAGAATTGCTATGCACCACCAGAAAAACCTCACTTTTGCTTTACAGCTTAATCTAAAACCAAATTACTCCCCAATAAGCTGCAGTTCAAAACTGTAAAGCAAAAGGCCATCTCGAGTTACAACCGATCTCGAGACTGATATCAAGGTAACAAAGTCAAAGTGTATTGACATCAAGTTCAGTTGACTTGAAGTGAGTTAACACCTGCAACAGAGGAGAGGTGCGCAGAATCAGGCTCTAGCTACACTATAAAGGATACCAAATAGCTTTAACAGAGGAAAAGAGACAATTCCGCGCGGTAAGCACGATTGACTGATAATCCCATTGTCGATCCTCCTACAGTTTCCGGCCGGAACTACGGACATCCAAGGGTACCAGTGAATCAAGCACGTTGAACTGAACGAGTTCTCTATTGACCGCGAGGAAATCCGGCTCTTATTCATTGAGTTGAAGCTGATTTGAAACTCCTCACGAGAGCTATTCCAGCAACTGTAACTCACTCATTGCACTAATCTAACATCAATACAAGGTCCTGCAGCAAGAAAGCAGAGACAGGAGACCAACAGAGGCAGTTCGCTACTACCCAAGGCTCCACCAAGAACCAAAGAAGATACCACGTTCTACGTGAGCTGTTGAAACCAACAGAGGCTACCCAGCCACAAACAGGTGCACCAAGAGTGACCAAAAGAAGGCTATCCAGCCAACAAGAAGCTTTTACAGGCAACTACAAGAGTAGTGCCCGTCGTGAGATCCTTCCTGCAGGAGTATCCACACAAGAACACAAGCTAGTTCCAAGGAACAAGCAAGCACAAGAGTGCATTACCACACCAACAAGACCATGAGATTCCAAGGAAGAGGTGGTCGTGGTGGAGGAAGATACCCTTCTAGGGGGGGTAGGGGATTCAATTCCTCAGGAAGAAGCCACCAAGGAAGAGGCAACAGCTACAGGAACCAGAACAAGAGTTCCAAGCGTCAGTTCCTCTTCCATCCAAATGGACAGGCTGACACCAGGTATTATCCTTTTGAGGAGACCCTGACACACATTGTCCAGGACCTAAGGATCAAGCCTGAGTGGAATGATGTGCCACTGGCTTCATTGGCCATTGAGACCATGACAAGTCAGGCACCTACCAAGCCGACCAAGCCAACACTCCAAGTATCACTTGCTGATCCCAAAGCCCAAGAATACGATGCTTTGGAACTCAGCGAGTACAAGGCAAAGTCATCCATCTATGACAAGTCGACTCGATCCTATGAGAACATTCTCAAGACAGGTGCAACCACCATCCAGGTGACATACTGTACCGACGCCATGAAGTCCAAGCTTAGAGGTCTAGGATGCAGTCAAGCTGGATCCCATTGAGTTGCTCAAGAGGATCAGATTGATAGTGATGCAAGGCTCAACCAAAGAGTTCCCATTGCTACAATACATCAAGACCATCCAACGTGGCTTGTTCCCAAAGCAAGGCGACCATGACAGAGTTGACTTCTACTTGAGAAAGGTCGACAGCGACGTGGATCAAGTGTATGACCTGGTCGGAACGGAGTTCATTGATGCCAGGACTATCGGTTTGGCTGAATACAAGGCCGCACCGGATCACGACGCCCAAGAAAAGATACTAGTGACGGAAAGGGCTAGGTTGAAAGCAACCGTAGGCTACCATGGCCTACAGGAAGGAAGATACGGAGACTA